TATGATTGGTTAGTTACACATTAGTTAAGGAGTTGCCTATACACAAGAGGGATCGAGAGGGAGATTTATCTTGTGATTTGTGAGGGAATTCAGATTGTTGTGGGAGAGTTCAGACCTCTCGAAAGTCCTGAGAATCTTCTGTAATATTCTGTTAATAGAAACTTTTCTCTCTTTTATTCTGATCCAGTTTCTATCAGTATGTCTGGGTATTCAATTTTATTTAACCATCAATCAACGCATGCTTTTCTATAATTTTTATCATAAACAGAATGTCTGGGAGATGCATGCCAAAGGAATCCTTAAAACTGAAGGGAGGAAAATAGAGTCTATTTGGATACAAGTTAGAAATACTTTTGAGTTTTGAGAGTTTTTTTTACAGAAAAAACTCTTTATTTTAGAAGAGATACTCTCAAAAACTCTTATAAGCTTGTATTCAAACAAGTACTTAATGTAGCATCAAAAGTAAGCGAAAATATGCAATTCGGTCTTCCAAAATTACATGCATCACCAAATTAGCCTTCCAAAAAATTCACTTGCCAAATTAGTCCCTGATTCTTCTTTTCACCACTATAATCCTCCAGAGATTTTATCACCAAATTAATCCTTGAATTTTTAATTTGTCATTAAATTAGTCTTTCTATTTTTATTCCTCAGGAAAAAAGGTTCTCTGGTTTTATTTTTATATTTCTTGGGTTGCAGCCTTGCAACAGAGGTTTATACCTCTGATATAACTCTAACTCAATAATAATATTACTTTAGTTTTATCTTCTCTATTCTGGCTTCTAAGACTAACAGTACCAGTTACCTTTTAAGCATTTGATGTCAAAGTGCATATTTTAATGCTAGAAAGTGATCACTAGTTTTGTATCCCGTATTTACTGTTGCCTAATAAGTCATGATTAGACAAGTATATGCTCATATACTTTTTTTATAACTCAACTTTGCACATAATTGTCTCCTATTCTAAAATGTGCAATATGATTATACAGGATTTATTTGCTTGTTTCAGGCATATAATGAAGTGATTAGAATTATTACAGCATATTGTCAAGGTTTATCCTTCCAGTACGCTAATGGCAGATTCATTGTTTTCATTGTTGTCTTTGTTTCTCCTTTACCCTATTGTAAGAATATTGTGGTCTTTGACAGTTTTGTAGGATATGTAAACATTTTCTTTAGCCTATCTTTGTTGCATTAAGAAATCTTGTGCTGAAGTTCGAAGTATGTTGACATATTTTTAAAATTTTTGTGGTATCGTCACTTGCTAAAAAATGCTCCACCCCCAAATATGTCAACCATAAACAGACTTTTTTCTTAAACTCCTCTTTTATTTTTGCTTTATTGAAGGTGTCTTGATAGAGCAGCTATAGTGTCCGATTATGAAAGTAGAAGTGGCGACGTTTCTAATCCATGGAGACTTTGCACCGTTACACAGGTGGAAGAATTGAAAATCTTAGTTCGCATGGTTCCAATTTGGGCTACTGGGATCATTTTCTCTGCTGTTTATGCCCAGATGTCGACATTGTTTGTGGTGCAAGGAACAATGATGAACACATTGATTGGTTCCTTCAAATTACCCCCAGCATCCCTATCAACTTTTGATGTCGTAAGCGTGATTTTGTGGGTCCCTCTCTATGACAGGATAATTGTTCCCATCACAAGGAAGTTCACAGGCAAGGAGAGGGGTTTTTCACAGTTGCAAAGAATGGGCATTGGCCTTTTCATTTCAGTCCTGTGCATGTCATCAGCTGCTATTGTGGAGATTATGCGCCTAAAGCTTGCAAGAAAGCTTGACCTTGTTGATAAACCTGTTGCAGTGCCCCTTAGTATATTTTGGCAAATCCCTCAGTACTTCTTTTTAGGGGCAGCAGAAGTATTCACATTCGTGGGGCAGCTTGAGTTCTTGTATGACCAATCTCCAGATGCTATGAAGACTTTAGGTAGTGCCCTGCCACTTGTGAATTTCTCTTTGGGAAATTATTTGAGCTCTTTCATTCTTACTATTGTATCTTACTTCACCACAAAAGGTGGAAATGTTGGCTGGATTCCTGATAACTTGAACCAAGGTCATCTCGATTACTTTTTCTTTCTTTTAGCTGGACTTAGTTTTTTGAATTTGTTGGCGTTCATAGTTTTTGCCAAAATGTACAAACCGAGTAAGGATTGTTAAGATTTTTTAGGCATGTATTAGGAGTGGAAGCATGTTCTGATGTTTCCTTCGGATTGTTGTTATGGTATAAGATTATTTGAGCTCAATAAAAATTACAGTTTGATCATTTCTATGTTCTATTGTTCATCATCATTGTGCTTGATTAACGGGAACGAAAAAGCAAGGATAATGAACTGCTACTGGAATAAAAGTAGCTCATCAGCACTAGTCATAAAATATATACACTGGTGAGCCGAGAAAGGTTAATGGATAACATATAAATGCAAATTTAGAGCAGAACAAATTTGCTACACTTTTAAGAGTATGGGCAAACTATTGAACAACTCAGTTCACCAAGTCCTTATAAGTACGGTTCTAAATATGGCTTTAAATATTTAAAATAATAGTACTAAATAAAATTTATAAACAATATCCAAGAATATTCCTCTATGATTTGGGGTCTTCTACTATTTATCTATACAGGCGTAAACAAGTTTTTTTCTGCAGCAAGGCATGTATATCTGACCACTGAATTAGTAACTATGCTAAACTCTCGGGTTATTCATACTTGTTAGCTCCTAGAATTGGCAAGCATTGTGTAATCAATTTAGGTCGTTGTCTCGTGTGCAAAGGGACACTCTTGGAAGATGGTCTTCTGCAGGTTCCAATATAGCATATATAATTATGTCATGTGTACCATATGACATGAAATTTTTGTTTTAATCATCATGTGGCATCGGAAGTCTCTAGAATAAGAACTTGTTTTCCTTCAAGCATCATGGTGAAAACTTTAGACTCGTGATCAACATACTGGCTAATATAAATACTTGTATCTTGTTCAGCTTAATTTTGACGAAGTCTCTTCTCTAATTTTATCATCCTTAAATAATATCACTTGTTAAAATCTATCAATAGTTCCTCAACATTCAAAAGACATAAAATACGCGCCATTTTAATAATAAAGAAGTTAATATAATTAAAAAATAACAAACTAACTTTCTAAAGCTCCAGAATGACCAAATTACTATTCAAAGTAAAAAAGGGCTACGGTATTTAGTTTAGTGGATATAAAATACCTGACACGAGAACACTTTTTATTTTCTTATGTAAATTATAGATCATCTGGATTAGGCTCACAATTGCTCCAAGAAATGTCTAAGGAGTCAAGATTATGAGTACCTACCTTGAGTTAGGATGAATGGATGATTGAAGTTGATGTCCAATGTTCTCTTTTGGGGTTTTCTTGAATACTACTTTAGGCTTTTTATGAGTTTCCGGAATGCTTTTATAAAAAATGTGCAGATTCTTAGATCAGCTCCTTCGTTCCAGCTCTTAGCAGGGGAGATAAGCATCACTTTATATGACGTGTCATTTCTCTATCATTTATCAATTTCTGTGTTCATTCCCATCTTTTGTCAGAAACAATGCCTTCCGTTGAGGAGTGTGATTAGAGCATGGGTGGCTACATACATTGCTTCCACTTCATTTTGCACCCTTATCTCATGCTCCCACTTGATCAACAATTCAACATCCTCTCTGAGTCTAGGTCAGTGAGCTTGTTCATTAAGTATACACGTATTTAAGGTATGTTTACATAAATTTATTCAAAAGATACTTATAAGAGAATAAAATACGAAAAAAAATAATAAAAAAAAATATTTTTTTACAACCTAAAAATAATTCAAACGATTTTACAGAATTTTCGAGCTGCTTAAGTCCATGCTTGATCTCAAGATGATCACACGAGATTGAGACTTGAAAAACAAAGGAAGGCAATATTTTACACAAGTTAGTATTGATGTGATGTGAGTTATACACATTAGAAGTTGTATTTTATTAGTATTAGTATTTCACTTGTAGTTGACGGATATTTCAATATTTTAAATTATGCATGAGTGTAAAGACTTCATTGCAGCATGTTAAAATAAGATAAAGTAATTTAATCTAATCTAGCTTTTGAAGAATCTAGCTCTTATATATTAAATAGGAATATTAAATAGGAATAATTATCTTGTGCATATTAAATATGAATAATTATTAATTTTTGAAATGTAAAAAAGAGAGAGAGAGAGAGAGTGAAGGTATAAAGAGAAAAAAGGAGGGCAAATAAAATAGAATTACTCAACAATAGAGCTATGAAAATGAGTCGTAGCCTGTGTGCTAACCCAACCCACCTTGAAAAGGGCTAGATCGGGCTAAAATAAATATAATTTTTATAGTAAATGAGTATATTTCAACTCGGCCCACTTTCACTCGGCCCACTAGGGTCGAACCTGTGGTGGGCCGGGCAGCCCACCTTTTTTTTTTAAATTAAAATTTGATTATGATTTATAGTTAATTGTGTATAATGAGACATTAAAATTTTTTATTTTAGACTTTTATCATAGTTTGTATTTAATTTTGTATGATGAGTTATGACTTATGACTATTAATGATGCTAATTTTATGATTATTATGTTAATTTACAGTTAATTTAAAAATTTAAATTTTATTGATATTTTTTTTTTAATTTTTTGGTAGGTTAGTGAGCTGACCTGTATAACCCACCAACCTGTGGTGGGCTGGGGCAGGCCAAGAAAATTTTGAGAAAATTAAAAGTAAGTTGGGCCGAGTTGACCTGTTTTTAAAGTGAGTCAAGGTGGGTCAATTTATATGAGCCAGACCGTTTTGATAGCTATACTCAACAAGTAGATATAGCCGAGTACCTTTTTTTTTCTTCCTTTACCAAAAAAAAAACCTTAGTAGCTTTTTTGCTGAGGTCCATCGGGCCCAGTGTTTGGACCTAATTAGGCCGCAAGAAGAAGTGAAGGGCCCGGCCCACTAATAAAACCCTTAACAGGGCACATAACTAGTTGTCTTTCTCTTTCCGCAGGGTTTTTAACAAAACTAGTGCTTCCTTGAAGTCATGGTGCGAGTGAGGTAAGTGAAATGCGTTCCGTTTTTAACTTAACTACTCGTTCAAGTTAAGATCATAATCATAACTACTCGTTCCGCTGTGCAGTTTCATTTTTCAACCATTCAATATTTATTGATTGATTTTCGTGTTAGAAGCAGCTCCAATATTGTGAGTGACCGGTAAGTAACTTTGATTCATTGAACCTTCCCAGCAACGTCTCATATTCGTGTCCTGTTTGTGTAATTTGTTATTCCCGTTGTTTCTGTTCGTTTTTATCCCAATTTCGTAGTAAAAGGGTCGTGTACCATGTTCCAAAAACTCAAAACATTTGAGAATTGAGGAACTTCACATTATTGTCACACATTGAGGCAAAAGAAGTAAATTATGGTTATAGAATAATAATGACCTGTTTGGCTTCAACATCCACCAGCTCTATTTAGCTCTCACATGGTTAGATACTTAGATTAAATGCAGACAAAACAATCTTTCACGCCCTTCCCTCTATCCTCTTGTTTATCCATAATGTTAAGGTGATAAGTGATATTGAATCATGTTTTTGTAAAATTTTATTTTGTAGGTATAATTTTATTTTGTATAAAGTTTTTTTTTTATTGTTTTTTTATTAGTAGGTATGATTGTTTGTCTCTGATGAATCAGAACCAAAACTCAAAATTTGTTTGTTGTGAATCTGAATTGAATTATGTTTTTGGTTTTCTTGTTATGAGATTGAGGCTTTTAGTTATGAGAAATCACCCTATGGTTAATCATAGGTAACGAGAGTTATGTGATAAAATGTTCTTGTGCTACTAAGATATCCTCAACTATGAAGTCCCAACATGATTAGAAGAAGCGTGCTGAATAAGCATCCTCCCCTTGAGCTGTATTGACTATTGGGAATAACTATCAAAGCTTTCTCTATGGTTTCTTCCCTAGAAATGCATCCATCAAGCTCAACATTCGTTTCATCTGGGTCACTAAGTGATAGAAAAGAAGTACTAGAATTCTTATGATGTTCTGTTGTCTAAAATAAAATCATACTTGAATCTTTAGACCAATTGAAACTTATTCACTAAGAAGGGAATTACTAGGAAAAAAATCTTCATTGTACGTAAATAAATTAAAAAAAGGATTTAGTTGGTTTTATTGTTATGATAAAATGCTGTTCCCTTGTGATTTTGGAAGCTGTAGCATTTTAATGTGATGTACTGATTCGAATTAGATCTTAATGTAAAAGAATAGGCAGATTTACCAATCTATGTTGATGCAAATTTACCATAATGCTTTCATTAGACAGATAACGCACTGTAAAATCCTTCTCACCAATTTTATTTTTTGGTTCATCTTGCAGCTGTTTTGATTTTTGATTGCTTAGAATCACTTGGAGAAAAGGGAAAAGGAGTGCTTGTTATAGTTTGTACAGAACCTGAAAGGTGATTTTGTTCAAGTTGTCTTTTGATCCCAGTAGTGTGCAGCAAGAAAATATATCCAAAAAACTTATTGGTGTCAGCTATTTAATTTTGGGAATTGGCAATTTGAAAATACATAAAAATGTCATTGTCTGCTCCAACTTCCCTTTTGAAGGTGGAGGAAATAGAAGGAAGAGGGAGGGGAATGGTTGCATCACAACCTCTTAAAGCTGGTCAAATTGTCCTCAAAGACTCTCCCATTCTGCTGTATTCGGCATTGCCCTTGATCACAAAGTCTTTGTCTTCTTCCTCCTCTGCCTCGACTTCCTGCTTCTGTGATCACTGCTTCAGAACCTTGCCTCCATCTTTACAGGGAGGTTCTTCATCATCCACAATTCTGTGCCCCAATTGTTGCTACCATCGTTTCTGCAGCTCAAGCTGTCTTTCAAAAGCACTGAACTCCTCCCATTCTTCTTGGGTATGTCAAGCATTATCTCGTCTCAGAGCCAATTCTCTACTGCTTGAGCAGCCCCTTGAGTGCCAAGTCCAAGCTAATTTTCTCATTGCTGCCTACAATCTTGCCAATGTCTCCCCTTCAGACTTTCAAATTATGCTTACTCTTCAGGGTTCTCCTGATGATTCCACCATTGGGGCAGCTCAGTTCCTACACCCCCTTATTTCATCCCTCTGCTCACTTGCTCTCATTAGCCCCCAGAATGGATTTTCTTTAGAACACACTGCTGCGCTTCTTGCCAAGGACAAGCTCAATGCCTTTGGCATAATGCAGCCTTTCTCTGTTGATGATGACCGGAGGTCTGTCAGAGCCTATGGCATTTACCCCTATGCCTCCTTTTTTAACCATGATTGCCTTCCCAATGCATGCAGATTTGATTATGTTGACGCTAATCCACCTGATGATGGCCATAATACTGACTTTATTATTAGGATGATTCATGATGTTCCCCAAGGTAGAGAGATCTGTTTGAGTTATTTCCCTGTGAATGAAAACTATTCTAGTAGGCAGAAGAGATTGATTGAAGACTATGGCTTCACCTGTAATTGTGATCGATGTAATGTGGAATCAAATTGGTCTGATAATGAAAGTGTTGAAGATAATGCAGAGGATGAAGAGGAGGTTATGGATGAGGACCAATGTGAAACTATGGAAGCATCAGACACCGACAATCATCCCCATGAAGATAATAATGATTTCCCACATGCTTACTTCTTTTTAAAATACATGTGTGACAGGACAAATTGCTGGGGAACTTTAGCTCCTTTACCTCCGCAGGGTGATACTCCATCTGATGTCATGGAATGCAATGTCTGTGGCAAATTGAAGAGTGACGATACAATTGATATTGATGAAGGGCAAGATGGAGTTTCCATGGAGGACTAAGCGACTAGGATGCTACTTTTGTGAGTAACCTGCTTTCATCTGAATGTTAGTTTATTTTTTACTCAATTTATTTTGTCACTATCTTTTTGTCCCTTCTACGTCTGTGTTTGCATATGTTCCTTAATTTCAGTGCTCACAATTTCTAAAGATACATTAACTTGCCCATAAACTTTTGTGGTTGTCAAGTGAGTAATTCTTTGGTTTTCTTGTAGAAAACAATGGTCGTACTTACCATTGAAGAACTTATTTTAGGAGAATGAAACTTCTTCAGATTCTGAAGCCTCATGGACCTTTGAATGCATGGTTTTTTTAGTAGACAAAAGGTACAGATATGAAGTACTTGGTTACCAAGGAATAAGAATGCTTTGTCCTTCTGGCCATATGGATAACCGGTCAGACTGAGTTTTTTTAATTTTTTTTTGTTTTTTGGGTTGTTATTATTTTGTTTCTGGTTTGACCAAGTATGTTTTGAACTCTTGATGATGTCATCGATTTACTGCCAAACCATCAGTCTCGAGTCTATGTTCAAGTTATGTCTTAAATGAAAGGTAATGCACAATACCCGATAACCAGAGTAAGGGAAGGAATGAAGAATAGGAAGAGCTTTTGGTCTCTGGGATGATCAAGAATTGGAGTCCATGCCATGCAAAAATAAGTAACCTTTAGTTAAATAATTGGCTTGGTGAATGGTTTAATGGTCATTTAAAATGGAAAGTTATCATTTTTAACCTTCTATTCCACCCTTTTTGTACGCAGCTTGTTCATCACACCTATCAACGCTTTATACATTTACATACACATTTATATCCTTTTCTTTAGAATTTTAAAAAGTATGTCTTGTTATCCTGTAGAAACTTTCGACTTACTCTTTATTTTTATTGATGTCCTCACGTTCTTTGAATTTAATTGGTTTGGTGCTCCATTACTTGTTTTGGACCAATTATGCACGGAATGTTCACCTCACCACCCTCTTTCATTTGATTTTGGGTTTATTTACAAGATTAATTTATTGTAGGTATTGTTGCATGTTGCATGTTGCATGTCGGAGGGAATTCTTCGTAGATTTTGCGCATGTTACACTCTGTACAAGCTGAGACCAATGCGTACCACACAAGAATCAACTGTGACTTTTTTGTGTTGTTTTTGAGAGTACAATAGTATGTTCTATGCTCTGGTTTGTTGCTTTATTCAAAATTCTGCTTTAACATTGCCGGCAAAACATTAGCATCTCAGTTTTTGAAATGTACTAATGATAATTTGCACGAGCACAATGCTTGGCAATATTTAACTGTTTCTTTATATTATTATTTTTAGTTAAAAATGAAATTATTTTGTAAATGAAAAGCAGATAAAATAATTAAACTAAAAAGTATAAATATTTTTAATTTCAGAAAATGTGTATACATCGGATATTATCACATCTGCAATATACACGTACTTGTACGAGACTTTGCCGAAATTTATGGACTACATTTTTTTTTCTTTTGAATGAAATATATATATATTTTCTAATAGAAAATTGTTTCAAGACGTATGAATATTAAAGGAAACACGTTGGGGCTATTCAAACCCGAAGTTAAACGCGTATGGTATCGTTTTTATTAGCGAAAGGAACCCAAATTTGTTAAGAGCCTTGAAGAAAATCAACATCGGTAATACCTGTCAAAGAAAAACTACAAACTCATACCAACTTTTCACTTGAATCATAAATTCTCGTCAATTGACGGCTTAATATATTGAATCTCCGAAAAACCATTCTGGTATAATGCAGAGAAACTTCTGTGATGAAAAAAGAGTAAATAGTTTTAACATGTATATAATTTTTCTTTTACATTATTATCGAATCACAAATTGTATATAATAAACTGATACTATTGTTATCAGTTTAACACGTCCATTAAACTGAAAAAATAGCATTACTTCAATTGATACAATTGTTGTCGGTGGAGTATCCGCCGATAGCGGTGGAGGCACCTCAAAAGGTAGGATAGCTGGCCCTAAAATTTAACACGGCTGCATATATAAGGCAGGATTCGAACTCCTGATCTTGCTTAAGCATAGATAAACCCCTATTGCTAAACTACACGCTTGGAGTTATCAGTTTTACGTTAATAACACGTCTATTAAACTAAAAAAAAAAAAAAAGTAGCATTAATTCAACTGGTACAATTCAATTTTAAGATCAAGTTCCAATTTAAATGAATTTATTAAAAAATTAATAAGGATCTTTTAATTCTTGAAGAGGTTTAGGTAAAAGAATTTTTTTTTTTTTTGCTTTCTCATAATTAAGCTGTACCAAATTTTGACCTACAATTCCTCTCTCCATATTAGGTCATAATCATTCTTTATAAAAGAAAAAAATAAATTGAGGTGTAATTATATATATTTTAATTTAAAGGAGTTTGGCCAAAAAGAAAAGCGTTAAAATTGAGATGATGAGTAACTAGTCGTCAAAGTCCTAGCACTCAATTTATCTTTTTGGTGTTTGGTAGTGTATTTTGATTCCTCTCTTTTTTTTCTTTTTTTTTAATGCACAACATTAAATTAATATTTTTAAAGCAAAATGGGATGACTCGTTCATAAAAAAAAATATTCCTTTACTTTCTTTTTTCCTTTGAATAGTAAACAATTAAAAATCCCCCTGCAGTGATTAAATTTTTATTCAACGCTTTGGATTCAATTAGGTAAATTTCTCATTCCCATGAATACCTGAACTGAAGTACTAAATATTTAGACACCAACACCATAATTGTTTGCCCATTTCATCTAACACTCAAGTTGATATAGTACTCAGGAAATAGTTGCTGGGAATGTAAATGGAAATTATGCTTTTTGAAACTTCAATGAATTCAAATTTCCTCCACATGTTTCACTGACTCAAACATTTCACTTTTAATTGTGTACCATGTACTACTTAACTAATGGAAGTTCATGGGCTGTGGTGGGGTTTATGGTGTTCTTGATTGAACTCCAGTTTCATTTATATATTAATGTGTATGATGAATTCATTTTTTTCTTCATGAACATGATTTACTTATAATCTTAAAAATAAAATATTTGAAAGATGTAATTTTTGTTTATCAAATATTATTTTAATATTAAAATTCGATCTTAAAAGGAGCAGATCAACATATAACTCAAGTATTTACTGATTGGAAAAATTTATAAGAAGAGAAAGCCTAGAGTGCATCAATCAATATCCACACAAACTACAATGCCTGAGTCTGTGTGCAACAAAATTCCACAAAATAGAACCATTCAAACCCTAGGATAAAAAAGGTGGTCCTAAGACCAAACCCATAATTTAATTCATCTTCTTCTTCTACTCATCTTTTAACCTTACCTGGGCCCCTCAACAGCATGCCCTCTGGTGGGGCCCTTTTGTTATATGCCACCCACCAAGTTGATTTTCCATGTGGTGGAAGATATGACCCTCACAATGAGTGAGAGAATGTGCAAGAGAAAGAAAAACGAATGCCCCATTGGAGAAACGGTTGGTAACCATACCATACAGAGGGTCCAGGAAGAAAAACACAAAAGGGAAAGCTGAAATTTGAATTATGTCTCTTTGGGGGCATGTCTTTTCCACACCTTTGCTTTACATTTAAGAGCAGAAGCACAATATGATAACCTTTGCAATTATTTAGTCCCCCACATATATAACCAAGAAAATATATAATAAATTTTAAAAAACTAAAGTGAACACATGCATTTTCAGAATCCCAAGAAACATCCACTTTTCTCCTTAGCCTGCGTTGACTGACTCATACTAGCTACTACCACTGTTTCTTAAACTCATCCATGCTTTTCTGTTTTCTTCCACAACTTGTACATAAATAGACCCTTCCCATCATTTTTTGTTGCCACCGAGTCACACTATTACAAAATGAACCACCTTCATTCTCTATCTTACACTACTACTACTAGCCTCTGTGGTTCTTCCCTAGGTTGGGATTATCACAACCTTGGAGTTCTCAACGCGGACAAAATGTCTTTAAGTACTACTACTACTCCTACTTTTCTTTCTCTTTATATTCATTCTTCAATGCATTGCTTCCTCCTTGGATAACGAAATTAATGCTTATAACTAGCTAAGTGTTACAATGCAATGATTGGTGATAATATTCAATATGCAGTGCCAGCTATGGAGGGAAGTACACCACCCTTCTCACCTCAACACTCCGATTTCTCAACTGGCTATCTCGAAGATGCTTTGCTTGAATCATGTGAACGTTCCAAACGTAGACGCTTGATGCCATGTGCTGATGAACTTAGCAAGAGTTTCATTGATGATCTTGAGCAGGTATAGCTAACTATATATACTGTTTCTTTCAATGTTTGTTTATCTCTCTTTTTATCAGTTTGGTATTCTCTTCTTGTTCTTGGAGTGAGACTGAATAAGTGACTATCATGTCTTTACTCTTCAGAGCTTCTGGAATTTCAACCCCTTATGGCACCAACCAGTAGAGAACTTCAACTTCTACTGCATGAACCAGATAGAAAGGTTTTGTGGATTTTCAGGTATATGTTATATATGTACTGCTAGCTTGTTACATGAATTTGGTTCAAAATGCTACTGTTGAAGCAAAACACAGAACAATATATATACTGTTGCCTTAGTAATTAATTTATTGAGAAAAAGGGTCCCGAAGAAAAATAAACGAATGAATGAGAACAACATTGATAATTGGTTATGATTGCGCTTCTACTTGTACTCTTTTTTTAATTTGTCATATATGATATATTTTAGATGAGCATATAAGCACATCAAGGAGCGAGGAAGCAAACATTCTTCTGGCTGAAACCAAAACACCGGAAGAGACAATATCAGCCTCTGAATCTTTAAATTCATCCTCATCTTCATACAAACAACCGGTGACATGCAAAATCATAGACCCCACAGTTTCCCCAGCAGGTACTATATTCTCTTTCTCTTCATAATATCATAATACATAGGAAAAAACTTCATTTTCCCATTACTGTGATTCAATCAGAAGTAAAGTTTCATTACAGTAATTTACGTAATAAATATGTTTTAATCAGAATTAAAATTTTATCTCAGTAATTTGTATAATAAAAGTTTTTTTAAAAATCAACATAAATCACTAAGGTGGAACTCTAATTCTGATGGATACGACACAAAAACATTCATGGAACTCGTCTAAGTTTTGTCTTGATATACACTATCTGTTTGTATGAATACATTAATAAATGCTCATTGTACTTCCAATTAATGAACAGGTAGCGAAGAGATGAGAAAGAAGAAGGTGCTGTATCCATTTGCATTGGTGAAGCCAGGAGGGAGAGAAGGTGATGTGACGTTGAATGACATAAATGAGAGGATCCTAATGCCTCCCACAAGGCCAGTGAGGCATCCAGTTGGGGACTTTGCATGTCGGCCATGCGTGTCCACAGAGGGTCCAGGCCTTTCAGGGAAAGCAGTGGTGGCCCTTACTAGAATTCACACACAGGGAAGAGGCACAATCACTATTATCAGAACCAAAGGCTAAGCAATATTGAGAAGAACTGTTATGTTATGTTATGGCTACCACCTAGATAGCTTTTACTTGAAGCAGCTTTTTGGGCCTGATTTGCTTTGTTTTCATCAGTCCTTCTTCCAATTGTAAAGATGGAAAGCGATATCTATGTATGTGCATACACCTTATATAATACTTGAACCTTATGTTAAAGCTGTTCTTCCCAGAGATTCAGGCCCAACATCAACAATTATTTGATTTGAGTGTTGTGCTGTCGTGCTGGCTGCTATGGTAGCCAATAATATATAATAATATTGGTAGGAAATAAAAGGAATAAAGAGGAG